ACACACACACACAAATGCAAGTGTGTGTGTGTGTGTACGTGTGTACAAATGGCTGCTCAGGGTCGTACAGTGGCGTCCACTGCGGTTGTACCTGCTCTGACGTCCAACGAACTCCAACCTGTCATTGATTTATTTGGTTCCAGCAGACGAGCATGATGGGAGAAAATAAGTGCTGAGTGGACGCTTCCGTTCAGACGGAAAAACCCTCTTTAACTGTGTTGCATTATTTGTGTGTGTGTGTGTGTGAGTGAGTGTGTGTGTGGGGGGGGGAGGAGGGCACAGTGCCAGAATCTTCCCTTAATGGGAAGAAAAGCCAGCATTGGGAACAGAAAAATGTGTCTAACTATAAGGCCTGTGGTCTTGAGGTCGGACCACTTGAGTTGATTTAATGGGTCGACAAAAAAAAACTAAAAATAAACCGCTGTTCGACTGCTAATCTTAATCCACAGTTTTTTTTTTTGTTTTTGTTTTTCTTGTCGTCGTTACAGACCGGGTTTCTAGTATGAGAAGTTTTTTTTTTTTCAATTCACATCAAATATTTCCTTTTTTTTTTACAAGACATAGGGGAAAAGATTTAGATTAAAAACATAACTGTGTTTAGTTACAGAATTGAAAAAAGATTTAAGAAGTAAAACATTTCTAATCCAAGTATTCCTACACATCATTTTTGAATAATTCTTCTTCTCCTTCTGTCTTTCTTTTGTTTCCCTTTCTGCTAAAACAGAACTAAACTTCCAACTCCTCCTGTCAAAGTGTCCACTTATCTTTCAACTCCCTGACATCGAGGCTAAACACTGTATTTATTATGTACAATAATGCAAACGACGCCTATTTTTTTTTTTTTTTAGTGGATGGACAATATGCTGATTTATTTTACGTATTAGCTTGAAGTGTTTCCGCCAATCAGAGCACAGGACTGTAGCTGTCATTCCGAGAGCGCAGTGTCGTAAATCTTCTTATGCCCATATATGGACATCCTGTCGGTGAGCCTCTCTAAGGTTGTAGTCGGCCAACATTAAAGGACTGACGTCGGTCCATCCAGCCAATCACCTGGCTCTGCCCACAGACTGGACGTTTCACGGTGTCGTTCGGCTCAGAAACAACATTAGAAATGAACACGTTATTTTATTGATCCTCAGCAAAAAAAACAAAACACAAAAACTCATTTAACCACAACGGAATATGAAATATATTTTCAGTTTTTTTTAAATAAAATACAATAAAATATGTTTAAAAAATAAAATAAAAAATCAAAATCACGCCGATTTATTGCTGCACGTCATAAAAACCGACTCGTTTCACATCGTGGTGTCGCTGATAAAAAGAGAAGAAACAGGTTCTAATGTCAACGATACGGAGCAACTGAGAATTTAAATTTGTACAGAAAAATAAGTCCATATTGCGATAATGG